AACAAATACTTCCAACAAAAAATTTCTCATTTATTACAGTATTACACAAACATGGACCGATAATTTTTGGTAGAAATCAGGCAATTTTTTAGGTAACCTAAATAATTTCCGAATCTCTGTATGTTAGCAGGTTTGCTGAACGAAATCAAATGCAGGACAAACTTTCAATTTACTGTAGAATGTACAATACAGCGAAATACTGCACGAATTCTATGATATCAAAAGAAGTTTCATATAGGATTAAGTTTATTTTACGTTTCATTTTGGGAAATTGAAAAGTGCCAATTTTCAGGTTCGGTAACCTATTTTTTGCGAGGCACTTAGTGCGCGTTCACATTGACACCGCTCGAGCGGTGAGCGTTGCGCGATGCCGCTGTAGCGATGCCCAAAAATAATTTTAACATTATATTTCAAATGAACATGTTAACACGGCGCGACACGCCGCCTCAGTGTGAACTTGTTCATTTGAAATATAATGTTAAAACGATTTGCATTCCTGATTTTTCTTGTTCTCGTGCGAAACGGTCAAGTTCTTCCTTTTCTGCCATGGCTGTGTTTGACAGGTGATTGGATTGTTTTGATGACTATTTATTCTGGACAGACGTACGGTTGTATGGAATTATGTTGTGGGAGGATGGCGAATTTTCTGGACTGTCTGTATGGAAGGACGTTGTGGACGGACGGCGAGTCTTCTGGACTGGCTGTATGGATGGACGTTATGGACGGACGGCGAGTCTTTTCGACTGGCTGTATGGACGGACGTTATGGACGGACGGCGAGTCTTCTAGACTGGCTGTATAGACGGACGTTATGGACGGACGGTGAGTCTTCTCGAATGGCTTTATGGACGGACTTTGTGGACGGACAGCGAGTCTTCTGGACTGGTTTTAGGCTCGAAGGACCAATGTGCAAGCAGTGCTTGCAGAATGCAGATTACGCTTGCCCAACTCGGCTTGGTTGAGCAGCGGGACGATTGTATTGTTTCCTGTCAAAGAGCAGCCTCACTCTCTGCGTTGGCCAAGAGGGCTTGGGCACAGGAAACGATTTGAGTAAAACACCTTTTGAAACTAGATGAATACTGATTTATTTCGACTTTTACATCCCTTTTTATATTGAATTTTGATAAACTAATCGTGACAAAAACTGCAAAAATATAAAACATTGTGACCGTAATTATTTAAATGCCTGCTGGAATGCAACTTACAATGTTTTGGATATTTTTATATTACCCAAACATTGTGACTAACTAAAATCTCATATAGCAAGCTGACCGTGATATTGAATAAAATATAAATATACGAAGTCGGTCAAATTACGCCGGCGAAGGTTGATCACTGTTTAATTGTTCTGATTAAACAGCATGTCAGCCAGATACAAGAACTTCAATTTATAATGTTATCACTTTTTTTCCTGTATTCTGTTTGCCTTTTATTACATTTGTGTTTTTTAGAGATCGACTAATTTGAAATATATGTTGTTTGTCGAATAAGGTATATAGGATCCAACTTGACGAATTCACCACCGTCCGCAGCAGTTTGAACCCCTGTCACTGTCGTTCGTTCAACAAGTTTGACGTTTGTTTACTTCAGTACGATAGACTTAAGCACGGTCCAGACGCTACGGTTCAGCTTACTGATCAAAACGTTTTGTCTGCAACGTGTTTAACTGTATGCAGACAAAACGTTGTGCAAAACGTAGCGTCTGCGCCATGCTTTCAGATATTTCGTCAAGCTTTATTTATTTATAATTAAGTTTACGCGTGTAGATAGCTAAGCGTTGGTTATCAATGTAGGCACTAGACACTTTAAGCAAACCCTAAATTTTCCTACGTATCCGTATCCGCTTCTGTAAACGCATCGACTTACGTTGACCGCCTAAAAGTCCATTCATGGTCATACATTACGTAAACGATCGTATCGTTGGATGACACGTTTTCGAACCACAAAAAGTTTTGTTTTGATTTTGTAGCTGTGTTTGTAGGTTTTATTTTTATCTATAAGTACTGTGTTTATGTTGTTGAAGTTATTTTAGTAATAACTGACAGGTAGATCCCTCAATAGTGTCAAATGATTGAGATACGTTTTCGGATACAGATACGAGTCTAGGCCCGTAACGATACGGACAACGCAACGCAACGAGACCACCGTATTTACTATCTATCCTGCGTTAGAAACGTCTGAAATTCAGGACCTGTTTAAAGTGTCTACCTGCTTATCCTGAATTTTTATATGTATCCGTCTCCGCATCGATCTGCGCACGCGCAGATAAATAGATACGGTGGTTTCGTAGTCCGCATAGTTACGGGCCTAGTCTCGTATCCGAAAACGTATCTCAGCCATTGTGTCTTTAGCCTTAGTTTTTTGAGTGACAGGTCTTTTCATGTTTTGCTTTTACCTGGTTGTCATGAGTTAAGGGTCATTCACATCCACTTAACTTAACTAAAGGTACGGAAAATTATAACTAACGTACGAAACTGAGAAGGTCTCTGTTAACAATGAAGTAAATTATCTTACATGACGTATGCGCACTTATAACCTGAACTGTCAAGTCAAATTATATGCACAGAAATGGAAATTATTATTTATTGCACGGATTTTCTTAAGTTGGTTCAACTTTTCCGTGTGTCACGATAATTTTCTTAATTTTTAAGTTGAGGTAACAACTATGTGATCTTCAACTTTTTTTTATTATTAATTTTCCGTACGTCAAGTTAAGTTAAGTGGATGTAAATGACCCTTTAGCACTAAATATATTCGTCATTTTGCCACATGCGGACGCCTGCAAATTCGTCAAGTTATATCCTATATACCTAGTAGCCTGCCCCTCACTGTATACAGTAAGGGGCAGGCTACTAGGTATATAGGATCCAACTTGACGAATTTACGATCGTCCGCAGCCGTCTGAACACCTGTCGCTGTCGGTCCGCTGTCGTTTTTTCGATGACTTTGACGTTCATAAACCATGGTTCACATCAGTACGTTTTATGATTTGACAGACTTAAGCCCGGTCCAGACGTTACGTTACTGATACCTGATCACGTGTTGAACTGTGCAGACAAAACTTGATGCAAAACGTAGCATCTAGACCGTGCTTTTAGATGTATCGTCGAGCTTCAGTTACTTATAATTATTAAACGGCGTGTAAAGATAGATTTTTTTTGGAACCGAAACAATAATCTATGGAAAAAAAACATGTATTAAAAAAAAGCCATCCAGGAAAAACTAAAAATATATTCAACATAAAAAATAGAAAAAAAATTAAGTAAAATAAAAACAAAAATTCTAGTTTTGACCCCAAAAGTCTGGCTCGATTACCATTTGCACTACAATGTAGCAAATGTTCAAACAGTCCCAGTCCACCTTCTTGAACTAAACAATGATCTAAACGATCATAGAAGGCTCTACGAATATTATTTAGCATCACAGGGGTGACAGTTAGATATATTTCTCGAATTTTGAAACAAAGCTGCTCAAGGTTCACGGCGCGATTCTCCTGAAAACCATACATTTTTCATTTGCAATAACTACAGAGAAAATAATCGTTGGGTGCAAGATCGGGAGAGCGTCACAGTATTGTAACTCTCGACCCAGCAATGAGACGGTTCGGAAAAGTATTATTCAAATGGTCCAGAATGAAACCCGTATTATGGGCTGGACATCCATCTTATTGATATCATATTTCATTAAATCTATAGGACCAGATAATCTTTCAATTTCTGGAATTATCTGCCGTTGGCCCGTTGCAAAAGATCCAAATATTTTGGACCAGTTAAGTTAGCGTCAATGAAGTACGGCCCAATAATATGTTATCCACACAAACCGCTCCAGACAGTTACCTTTTGACGACGCTGGGCTCTAAGCTCAAAATACGACCAATAACGGGTGTGACTAGGATTATGTCGACCATGGAGTTGAAATGTCGACTCATCTGTAAAGACAATTTTTCTAAGAAAATCTTGATTTTCATTTGCCTTATTAATGACAGTTTCACAAAAATCCATTCGCCTGATGTTGTCCTCAGGATCAATTTTTTGGGAGTTTCTTACTTTGTACGAACGATACTTTTTTTTTCTGTGGCTCCTAACCGTCCTTGTACTTGAGTCAATATCCTGCGCAAGCGCACGAGTCGAAATAGTTGAAGTTTTGTTAACTAATGCCAACAACCAACAACATAATTTATTTGGCTTCTTGATCCTCATTATTTTCCGGGACGTCATTTCGTTTGGTTTCAGGGAGAAACACAACCGTATTTTTGAAAATTATTAACAACCCTAGAAACTTTTTACTTGGTTGTCGCCCAGGTTAGCGCTAAATCGATTTGTCATTTTCTGACATGCGGACGCCTGCAAATTCGTCAGGTTACATCCTATATACCTAGTAGCTTGCCCCTCACTGTATTGATAAATATCAAATATATAGTCCGACAAATACCATTTTAAAGTCACGTGATATTGGTGGCAAAAAACGTATGTTCGTTGATTATGTCGTTGATATCACCTACAAAAAGCTACTTGTGGTTAATGACTATTGAATTTTAAGATATGTTCCCACTAGCATTTTACAAACGCGTTTCTGAAGTAGTATTGACCAATCAGATGAGAATTTTAATACTTGCAATTGTTGCGAGACTCACTGTTGTCGCTTCTGCTGCCCCTTGTAATACATTCTGAACTTGAATTGGGTACCCGTTTTCTATTTGCATCTTTTTGAGTTGGAAAAAGGTTAATATAGTAAAAATTATTAGCTGTGTTTATTCGTTGTATCATTTTCTAAAATACCTTTGACAAACTAATTAATGACAGTGACGGATTCTATTTCAGGTAAGAATTTTATGAACAATAATTAGACAGCAATTTTTTTGTCAATTTTACTATCACCGCTGTTTGAGATGTATTCAACAAGGATAGAGAAAAATCACGTGACTTTAAAATGGTATGTGTTCGACTATACCATAAAATGAATAGAATGGGCCTTTAGTTTATAATAATTTCATATTTACAGGGCAAGCCGGAATTGAGTTCAGTCGCAAACAAAGCAGGCCAACTGTTGGCGAGAAAATTATTTGCAGGAATCACCATCACCGACCAAATAAATTATGATCTCATCCCTGTCACCGTCCTTACTCCTGTGGAATATTCATATGTTGGAAAGTGTTTTGGAATTTGTAGACCGTAAATCCTCATACTAAACTTATCACAAACCACACAATAATTATATTCAATCACTTAATAATTCATGTTCACTTTTTATTGGTCAGCTGATTTTTACGTCAAATTTTTTAATATTCACCTCCTGCGGTGACAAAGTGTACTTACTGATTTACAAAATTCATTTTATATAGGATTGTCTGAGGATTTGGCGCTTGAAAGGTACGGAGCAGACGAAATAGAAGTTTACCATTCGTTTTACTATCCACATGTTAACAAGGTTGCCCAGAAAGATTCCATGAATTGCTACATCAAAGTTGTAGTTATGAGAGAGGGAGATCAAAAAGTTGTGGGCATGCATTATATGGGTGCTAATGCCGGCGAGATTATGCAGGGATTCGTTAGTGCTATGATGTAAGTTATAAAATAGCATTTAATGTTATGAAAGTTGTTATTGTCACTGCTTCCGCAAATCCACTTAAAACTCTCTTTGCTAACAATAAAACAATAACAACTTATATTGAAGATTGACTATATATAAAATACGCTGTGTCTAGCCTCCCGGCACCGGTATTCATACGAATCCCGGTTATGACGCGTTTTCGATGACTCCGTTAACGACCGCCGGGATTTATCGTGGGTCCCGGCTATTGGATTCAAAATTCAAAGTCGTGTTTCTCTTACTGCTTGGAGCTGTGATTGATTCCGGAATAGCTTTTGTGTATTATTGTTTCTTGTTGTGATATTGGTATTAGAGTGGTGAGTACTTCGTTAATCCACTTTTTGTAGTAGCGGTTCAAAAAGGGAATAGTATGGTTTATTTTCATTCATTATTCAGGACTATAGCCTTTTTAACAGCCTGTATCTCTGAAATAGGGTACTCTTGGACCCATGTTTATAGGAATTTTTGCTCTTAATTTGAGATGTAGAATCCGCAGTTAAAATATTAACCTCTAATTTTGGGGCACCCTGTGTAATGTTGCTGAACATTAACGGCGTTACTGTACAAGATCAAATGCTGAACAAACTCTCAAAATGACCCTGTACCTACATGTCAATTGATTCGTGCGGTATGCTAGAGTTATGTTTTAAAATAAGCAACTTATGTTTTTAAAAAACTTTATTACTTAATAAATAACGTGTGAACTCAGTGAAGCGAACTAAAGAACTAAACTATTATTTCTCTGCTCGAATTTATATAAAAGAATAAATGCTGAGCTAGACTATGACTAATTGTTATTACAATTATTATGAATCATCGGAGATGGCCATATAATTCCTCCCTTCTTAAGTCTGAGAAAATCGGGGCAGATTTTCGAGGGGTTTCAATTTTATGTCCACCTTTACATTATTTTTACATTTCTTCTTCCTGCAATAATAATATAATAAAAGCACTGCAATTATAATAATGATTATAATAATTAAAGTTACCGATACACTAGTGTTTACAACATCAAATTTCCTTAATGGATGAACGGTTAGTGTTTTAACATTTTTCATATCTTCATGAATGTTATTTAAATCAATTTCTCTTAACTCTAAAGGTTCTACATTTCGAACAAGAGTTTCATTGATATTCATCGATGGCAACTTTAATCTAAGATTAATTGTATAAGCTTTTTGCGAATCATAATATTTATTTCTTATGCTAAGTTTACGATCCATTGGTAGAATCAGAACAGGTTTATCTACTGATTCTATCGTATTCTGATTGGCACATTGAAAATCAATTTTTTCTTGATTTTTCGGAATGATAATGATAGAATTGTCACTTAATTGCGTTACAGAAGTTTCTTGATACTTTACTGGTATCAGTAAACAATGATTAGTCAAATTTATGGTTTCTGATATGCAAGGCTCATTTTTATTTAGTAACCTGCTTGGGCATAAAAATAGATCTTCTATTTTTTGACAGTTTTCTCTTAAGTTGAAAAAGTCATTATTTGATTTTAACAAATAAGGATTATTTATTGGTGTTATTTTTCCATTGATTGGGATTGGATAGACACGATAGAGTATATATGGTTTGTCAAAGATTAAAGGTATGGCAATATAGAAAATTATTAAATCTTTCTTTATTGTCACGTCAGCATGTGCGACTTCATAATATTTAATTATGTTATCAAATGGAATTCGCGTTTTTGGATTTAATTTTACAATTATTCTTTGAAGTTCTTGATATTCAAGGATGCTATGATGCATGATATTTATCTCAGCAAAATTAATAGCAACTTGAGCATTTGTGCGAATATCATTGATTACTCGTATATTATTTTCTAGGTTATCTAGTAACATAATATAGTACATAGTAGTAGACGTTGAATGAGTCATTCGTGTGAGGTCATTAATATGAGTCATAATTTTCTGTTGATTTGTCTCGAGGTTACTCAACTGAGTATCAATGTCTTTTGTTGATTGTTTCAGGATTGTCTGTGTGGATGAAAAATCTTGGTGTAAAATTTCTTGATTACTTTGCAGAGTTCGGATATAATTATCGTAACGTTCTCCGTCGTCAGCATCTAGAGTACCGTACAGATATTTATGTACTTTTCCTATGAAATTACTAATCCTCTTTTGATTCGTTTTTGAGGGGTAGTATAGTCCAACACATACCATTTTAAAGTCACGTGATTTTTCTCTGTCCTTGTTGAATACATCTCAAACAGCGGTGATAGTAAAATTGACAAAAAAATTGCTGTCTAATTATTGTTCATAAAATTCTTACCTGAAATATAATCCGTCACTGTCATCAATTAGTTTGTCAATGTTATTTTAGAAAATGATACAACGAACAAACACAGCTAATAATTTTGACTATATTAACCTTTTTCCAACTCAAAAAGATGCAAACAGAAAACGGGTACCCAATTCAAGTTCAGAATGTATTACAAGGGGCAGCAGAAGCGACAAAAGTGAGTCTCGCAACAATTGCAAGTATTAAAATTCTCATCTGATTGGTCAATACTACTTCAGAAACGCGTTTGTAAAATGCTAGTGGGAACATATCTTAAAATTCAATAGTAATTAGCCACAAGTAGCTTTTTGTAGGTGATATCAACCACATAATCAACGAACATACGTTTTTTGCCACCAATATCACGTGACTTTTAAATGGTATTTGTCGGACTATATAATGATTCAGAAATGATTCAATTGATTGTGTTTGGTGAAGAAGGTCATAGACTCGTGAGTTACATACGGCTCTACATTGTATATTTTATTTAATCAGCATATTATTTTTCATTAGCTTGCATTCTGTATTCTCTTTTTGTAGCTTCTACTTGCCGAGCGTCCTCAGTCAGAGCTTTGCATTCACATTCGACGCTTCGAATTTTAATAAATTTTAAACGTAAAAATATTGTAATAGTTTTAAGTGAAATAAATTTGTTTTTAAAAAATCGTACATCGCGTACTGATTTGTAACTGGCGTAGTCGGTAGGATAGTCAGGAATCAATACATCGAGTATCGATTTATCGTGAAACGGTCAACTGGCTATCCGAAAGAACTTACGGTTCGGGATTTTGATTGAACATCAGAAACTTTCGACCGTGACTACGGAAAGTGTTCGTGTGCGTAAAGCAATTAATTGGGGATTGTTTCGCGACGGCATTTTGAGAATTGATAACAAACTCTATCAATTCTGCGAGGACTTAGTGCTTTTGGACTTGGATTACAAAATTGCCACCAGAGGACTGAGGCCTTATAGTACCACCTAGACATAAGAAGAAAACTCTATGGCACGAAAATTGATAGCATATTTTATGTAAGTGCAATTTGTAAATGTTTGATTTGGACGATTTAATTAACTCTTTTGAAAGTATTGAGATAAACGATAATAGCTCTGACTCCGCTTCAAATACAGAAGTGTTAACTGATCAATCTAATAATCAATTAGAAACTGAAGGTAATATTGATCAATTAGAAAGTGAAAATAATATTTTACCTATTGATAGCTCAAACTTAGATTTAACTGCTTTTGCACAAACTATAACGTTTTTGCGAAGTCAACAAAATTTAAACTTTTCTCCTTTAAATATTGCTACAGTAAATTTACCAGTAACTATGGCTCAATTTAAACCCGAATATTTAAGTTGTGTCCCAAAATTCGAGGGAAACCCTTGCGAGCTAAACAGATATTTAGCGACTTGCAAATCTCTCATAGATATAATTTTTATGATACTGTAAATGTAAATTGTTTCCAAAATATATTTTTAATAAACTCTCTTATAGGTAAACTTTCTGGCAATGCTATATTAGTGGTTAATGTTCAGAATGTCTCCACCTGAGACGCTCTAAAAAATACATTGACTAGACATTTCGCGGACAGACGCGACGAGTCTTGTTTGAATAGAGACCTTGTTTTAACCAAACAAAATGCTAACGAGACCCCTCAATCTTACTATGATAGAATTCTCGAATTACTTAATTTACTCTGCAGTTACGTAGATGCTCACGACGATGTGGCTACTGCCCAAATAAAACGAAATTTGTATACAGAACTTGTTTTAAAAACATTCTTGGCCGGTTTAAGAGAACCTTTAGGCAACACAATTCGTTGTATGTCACCAAAAGATTTAGCTGATGCCATACAACTTGTTATTCGAGAGAGTAACACAAAATATTTCCAAAATCAACCCAATCACAATAATAGCAATGCAAATCATACAAAACCAAAACCTCAACAACATCAATTTCGATTTAATGGTCCAACCAGAAATTTTGGTTATAATAACTATACACCAAATCAGTTTAAGCAGCCCTTTCCGTCACAACCTATCAATATTAGACCTAATGCAAACATCCGCCCACAAAAATTCTTTTCTAACTCCCAAGTTTTTGGTAAACCAAAACCAACAAACGTATTTAGACAAAATCCTGGAAAAATCTTGCCAAAGCCCACACCAATGTCAGGTGTAAGTTTCCAAAACACCCAAAATTTCACACCAGTGGCTCAAGCATCAAATTTCCAGCAACCACAACAACAGTACCAGCAACAGCCCAAATATGCATTTGAAGAATTATTTACTGCAGAACTAGATTCAACTTCTGAAGAATATCAATACAGTTATTCAAACGTCATCAATCAAACGTACCCCGAAAATAATGCATATTATGATGAACAGCAGATTTATAACCCCGAAAATTCTTATTATTATTATTATGCTGACCCAGCGGAGATAAATTATACAAATGAAACTCAAGAAGAACCGACCACATCAAATCAGGCTGTGGAATCAAATTTTCAGGAATCAGCCGAAGACAATCAGAATATTTGACGGAATCGCCCCCAGTGATTTCATTAAATTTAAACAACACCAGTGAACTCTCATAGTGTTTCCTGAATACAACGTCAAAATTTTAATTGATTCAGGTTCCACGAAATCTTTTATTGACCCAAATATAGCATTTAAAT